AAGGTTGGTATACAGTTTATCCTTGACTAATGTGCTCTTTGTGCATCCTAGACAGTGCTCTATCCATTTCGGGATTTAGCTGTGCACCCTCCTCCGTGCGTTCCGGTACCTGCTTCGGATGGGTAGAAGCGTGCCACTTTTTCAGCCTCAAAGCGCACCGGGATGGGGTTCGCGTGTAGTGTATTCAGCGTCAGCTCCATACACGCTACTCAAGCTACGGACCCTCGAATCCACCTTAGAAAATAGCATGGACCGACCTCGGAGGTGAGTAGTTTGCCTTCAACCTGATTGCTCAAAAAGATTCAGATAGCCAAGTTGCAAGAAGTCCTGGTTTCGAATGCATTGTATATAACAACAGTATTGTTAGAAGTGAATGAAATAACCTTTTCAAGCTACATATTTTATATGGAGACACTCACACTCTCGTACTCTAGTTTCGTTTTTCATTCGCATGTATGTGTATCAAATCGTATTCACTTATTACTGGTGCAAAATCGGAGGGCCGACATAGGCATTTTTTGTGCCTAATGTTTTTCATACCAAAAAAAGTTGAGCCGAAACGAAGGAGAAGACACCCATTCTGTGAGTGTGGCATGCGTCAAGATGGGCGAGGCAAGGATCAAAAATTTGTATTTCTGCCTTATAATAACCTGGAGATCTGTAAGCGTAAGTGAGCAGTGCGGAGTGGTACAAGTTGAAGTATGACAACCAAAGTGGTCGGGGCGTGCACTGGGATGGTCGGAGCCAAACTAAGAGATTCAGAGACGGTTTCTGAGCACTTCAGGTGAGAAAAAGTGAGTTGGTTCAGTAAGAGGGGGGGGAACACAAATGCTGTGGGTGAGGAGAGCCCAGTAAAAATTATAAATTCGCATTTATATCCCTTAACAGCCTGAAGAAAGGGAAAAAATGAGTCAGAGGGAGCAAAAGGATGGGTGGGGAAAAACACACCCGTGGTGGGAGGAGCGCGCCCCGTAAGAGCGCGGAAAATTCAGGAACTCAGAATTCGGTTCCTGAGCACTCCATAGAGAAATCTTATTCATCTCACTGACCCTCATCAGTATCCCTTCCTTTCGATCACCACAAATTCTATGAGAAAACGCTACCAGTCGGATCGCCGGTTCGCCAGCTTTCCCCCTTTGGTGAAGTGGCTTTGCGGGGCAAGTCCGTTTTCGCCATGCGTTCTTTCTCTTGACATGTTGAAAAGACGGTTGATATCAGGCTCTCTGTCATCTGTGCGGTCACTACGATGCTTCTGGATAAGGAGCTCCTCTTCCTAGGTGCCGACATCAGAAGCGATCCATTGGTCATGGTAGTAAACTAAAGTTCCGAATGGTTTTCAGTCTACTCTTCAATAGGCGAAGACTTTGTCAACAAATGAAAAGCGCTCGCATGGAAGAATTATGCAGCGCCTATAACACCTCTACCCTTGGTTAGGCGCCGAGCGTCCACTGTTTCCCGAATATACGATCACAATCCTTTTTTATTTCAATTTTTCTCCTTTTCTATGACCAGACCGATATCTCTAGCCCACTGAATCGATACAGCAATGTAGGATGTTTGACAACCGACAGTCTACATTTCACGCTTCAGTGTAACCTAGAGAATTCGGGAAAAAAGGAGACCAACATGGTGGGCAAACCGTTGTTGAGGATTCCCCAACAGGGGGGGAACCATGTTTGGCTATTGGGAGAGGGGGTCGTATTTGGACCGAGAGAAATTTATTTTGGTAGTTGATTTTCCTTGTTTCACGGAAGTTGTAAAGTGGAGGTGTTTGTATTCTCCTTCTGCCCTAGAAGTTTGCTGACTTTCTGACTTTGCGTGATTTTTCCTGTTTCATGTGTACTGCGTACCCCTTCTCCCTCGACAACCAACTCCATGAAGAGGGAACCAGGGGGGGGTCGCATTTCCTTCCTGAAGAAGGTTGCCTGACTTTTCCTGATCTTTCCTGATCCATGTGTACTATATACCCCCCCCACCAGCAAAAGATTTGGAAAAAGTAGCGAAATTTTCGGAAAATTCCGGAAAAACTGGTAGGAGTTTTGGAAAATCTAAGGCAATGCTAGGGAGTGAAGTCACTCATTCTCGCTCCCGTTTCACGTGTGCTATTCATCCACACACAAGAAGCTAACTTCAGTATTACCGCCACGCTACCGTAACCCAAAGCGGCGCCCAGTTAATTGTAACTCCGCAGTGGACGTACGTATAACACTGAACTTTACGCCAGTACCACTACGAGAATTGTGCGGAAACGCTTGCATACTGCACTTTCAAGGATGGACGGGAATTTCGTGCACATTTCACTTATGCTTTCTTTCGTCTAGACGGATGTTCTTTATGTTTGGCATATGCGCAGCGTATGCCAAAATATAGAACCTCTAGGTCAAGACATCTCATGTCGCAGACCATACTACGCTTTTTTCTAGCTATTTGCAACTGGACAATAATTACATGAATATGAAGAGCCGAATTACTTTTAACTTACTCCAGACCGTGAATATTCTTTTACAAGTGGTTTCCCAACTTATCGCATGAAATTTCACTGCACGCTGTGCTTGGAAAAGCGAAAAACGTCACTATCACTAGACATAAAAAGTAGTGATCTGATTACTGACATGACATTTTTCGTGACGATACCATTTGGCGCCAGTTTGGTGCAACTACAGTTCAGACTCAGTTCGCTACAGACTGGTAGTTAGATTGGAGAGGTAATCCAGGGTCTCGAGTGCAAACACGACTTGGTTCTTAGTGCTGACAAGAAACTTCAGGGTCAGGATAGTGACTGGCAGTACCAAATACTCTTGTAGACAACGTTTTTGGTGGCAAGTTTTTAACAAGATTTCCTCACATCTTGGCGGAATTGTGCCGTCTCAACTTTGGCCCTCTAGTTTCCAGAGTAATGTTTGTTCTACTTCAGTGGATGATTTCACTATGTAGCTAGGTTTTGTGAAAAAAATTATTCCCAGGTTGAAAAGTCGTAGTTGTGAACGTGACCAACTACATGCAAGTACCACCTGTTCCACCTTTCGAGGCGATGAGGCTAATAATTCGAACGGAGTACCTCAACCTAATGTTTACTTCAGCGAGCTTTGAAACGCAACATTAATTAACAACACCACCAAAGTGCTTGAAGCAGGAGTAACAGAAAGGTAGATCAGGCCTATCCTTACATCGAAGTCCTCACAGCGACATCCGAAACACACCAGTCTTCTTCCACCCAGACAAAGGAAATTATCGGCGTAGTTTCAATGTAGTTTCAATGCCCAAGCATGTTTTCAACGCACCTACGACAGACGGACAATTTAAAGGGCGCTGTCTTGGGTTACGGTACCGTGGCAGTAATACTGAAGTTAGCTTTTTGTCACTCCCACTCCCCCCCCCCCCCGCTTGATAGCTCGATAGGAGGGATCCAGGGGCTGGGGTCCTAGCACCCCTCAGAAAAAAAAGGGGAACGGGTCGCACGGACTCGACCAAAATCCCCAGCTAATGATGGCCTATACGGAAATGTATTTGAGTGTGTGGACATGAGAGAATAGGGAATGGTACCTAACAACACTACGAGGAATGATTTCAAATGAAAACTAGAAAAAATATATTGATAAAGAAGAAAAAACTTACGTCTCTCGCATCGATATAACAATAATGGAGAACATGGAGGAAATCAATCCAAACAGCTTTGTCCAGCAACAGCTGATCCTTGACCACGGCACCTCTGAGAAATGTGCAATTAATGTTCCGAGGCCACTGTAAGCAAATACACACAAGGATGAAAGAAAGATAAAGTTTTAAGCTGTTCCACAAGTTTCTTTACCTGACGCATGTCAAAACCAAGTCAAAATTTAGTTCATTTCTCAGGAACAACCACTCATTGCGAGAGAAAGAGAGAAGTTGAGTCGGGAGACCAACATAAATGCTAAGCTGACCCTTCTTCACCAGAGAGAGGTTGAGTCGGGAGACCAACATAAATGCTAAGCTGACCCTTCTTCACCTGGCCCCAAGAAGTCAACGCAGTCTTTCCGCAAGTCGTTTAGCTGCAACCGAATCCATTCCTTAGTGACGCCTTCGATCCAATCCTTAGTGACGCCTTCGATGTCACCACGATTTGTAATCCGGCATAATTCAAGCTCAACAAACTCCTCGAAAAATTAGTTCTTTCTGCAATCTCAAAACTGTCCTCTTTTTGCAGGTCCACAATGAGTAACGAGACGGCTACGGTGTCTTAATAAGCAGTTATATACGGAGCCTTCCAGCCCTCGCTTATCGGAGACGAGATATGAAACAATCATATCTTGAAGTACAGCTGCTGCTCGTCCCACGATCACAGCATTTTACTTGCCTGAAATGCCTCTTTTGAAAAGAAGGACATACCGTAAAAAGCCAACCCATTCCATCAGGAAGTATGCATTTTGGCGCTGCACCAATCCACCAGTGATACAATTTTACTGGTTCATGTATTCATTAGTTGAGGTAGTTGCAGTTTTTTTTTTCAACAAACGCTTCCGGAGCTGCTCTTCATCACAAACTTTACTACTTTACGAGGGTTTACTTTTCTTGTAGGCCATTCATTGCTAAAGGACGGCATAAAAAAACCAACAATGGGCCAGAAGATGTACATATGCAGCGGCCCTATCGATATTGGCCTGATATGAGCAGGTTCGGGGAACTCGTTCACACGAGGCCGTTGTTTTGCGTTTTTGGCCGTTTCTTTCGCTTTTTTTTCGTCACTGCCAAGTCACTGACCACCCCACTTTCATTTCTGATTCGTGTTTATAAAGACTGCCAACGCGGTGTTTGCGTAGCAGGGTGAAACCGAAGATCAGTGTTTAGCTTCTGTGAAATAGCCTGCAATCTCTTTGGAGATATAGTGCACCCGCCTGCGAGGACGGTCCCTGTCACTAGTGAGATATATGGGTCTGCAGCTGCAATCGCGTGCCTTTCTCTCAAAAGCATGAGAGCAAAGCTAGAGGGAAGTGCTACCCCGGTGCCGTCTCAATACTTTGCCCGCTCTATCAGCCAATCACCGGTAGAGAACAATAACAAGTGAGCGGCGCAGACAAGCCTGTGGTTATTTTTTTTAGCCTGTGGTTGAGCGTCGGGCTGGCCCCGCCGTGGCCGGGCGGAGTATGGAGACAGCACCTGAGCATGATTTCCCTCTGGCCTATTCCCGTGTATTTTTGACCTGTGAACATGGCACTACTGCAGCTGCGTATCCATTCTCCTCATACTCTAGGGCCATAACAGGGGTAAATGTACAGTTTGTCCTTGGCATCGACACAAATGCACTTTCGGTAATGGCAGTATCGCATGCGGACGAAGAATTATACTAGTGTACACTGGGTATCTTGCACTTCCCGCTAGATGCAGAAAGCCGCGAATTCCAAAAAAAAAATCAAGAAACTTGTGGAACATCGTAGTAGTGTGCAGGTTCCAAAACCAGTTATAATTACCTTGAAATCAAGCACTCGATGAGATAAGTCAAGGAGAACACGCGTTCTCTCATAATGTTGGACGTCCTCTTCTCAGGATCTTTGGCATCCTCCCGTCTCACTGTCTTTAAAGAATCTCCAAAGTTTTTCGTAAACATTTCGCAAGATGAAACGAAAAGTAAAAACGAAAGAATTATCAGAAAAGAAAACAAAAAAAAGTAGAAGCAGTAGAACCAACATCGGACAGAAAAGCTCGCATCGTTTCGTCGTCGGCATCCGTTGCTGCGTTTACGATCTCATTGCAGATGGGCCCTGTCCAAGTTGCATAGGGACACTTACCATAACCATATAGCTTGTTCGCCACCTAGAAAAACGTCTCTTTGTATGTGTTGTCGTTGATATTCACTTAAAGGCAAAGCCCGCGACCACAGATTGTGGGTAACGGAACCCACATAGGAACGAAAAAGGGCTAGGTATCTGATTAGCGGAGAAAAGCAGCAGAAAAACAGCCGAAAATGCCCTAAATAGGATTCCATATCGACCCAACTTGTACATGCATGCAATGAAGAAAACGCATGTTTGTACGAATTTCCACTCGTCGTTATCAGCTCTTTTATCGTATCACCTCACTCTCACCATTCGGAATGGAGAGAGATAGCATAGTGGCTACTAGCTAGTAGCTAGCAGCCGGTGGGGGTCGGCATGGGCCTAAGGGGCGCCCATGGGCCTAAATGGTTAGCTTAAAGACAGCCCCCGCGCTCAAGTAGTACATGGTCGTCCTTCCTTGGGCAGGTAGTTCAGCCCCCAAGCTAGATACTATCTCACTCTCGCGACTCCTCAGCGAGCGAGGAGCGAGCTAGAACCGCTCAAAGTTCTAGTTCTAACGCCTGCTCAGTTGGACCGCCTCACTAGCTAGCTGCCCTCTGACGGAGAGCCGCTCAGTTGTTCCTTGTTGGGACGGCAGTCATTAATCGGAACTGCATGTATTTTTTGCTGACCGCGCTCGTGCTCGTAAATAATTCTGCTCTCCTTCATCACATTTTATTCATTGGGAGCACGTACAGTCAACAGCAACCCATCTCGTAAGGTAAAACGCGTAAAAATCACGAATGATGCAATTTCTGTGGTGCAAAAGCTCGACGCACTTCACTACACTAAAACATGCTCGCTACCGTAAGTTCGGACGCCGGCTTTTTAAATGTTCACACTAAAATATGCTCGCTACCGTAACCCTAAGTTCGGACGCCGGCTTTTTGAATGTTTCCTTTTTTTTCAAGAGTTTTCCTCCATGTTTCTGTTGTTTTTTGTTTTCTTTTCTTCGCATTCGATGATATCCACTACTGGGAGATGTGACAAAGTGATTTGTGAGCCAGGGCTTGCACAGAGACCGCAGGGAGGTGTGACTGTCAGGGCGCGATTTTGTTTAGCTACTGTTTCACAATTGATCAGCAATTATCCTTGACACTTTTATCGCGGGAGATGTCTTTAAAGCGGAATTCTTGCCGGTTTTCACTTTCTAAAGGTAGCGCAGCCTCCGCAATCTCCTTCCGGATCGTCTGACACATTTGAAAGGTCATAGCCTTATTATCGCGGAAAGCGGCCTTTAAAGGAGGGTGGTTGAGGAGGCTAAGTGTTCCGTATTTGGTTTGGAAGTCATCCAAAAATCTTGAGCACAAGTTTCCCAGCGGCAGCAGTCTCAATAGGCAGTGCGGAGAGTTTCCCATTGGAATCCGGCAGCCTACGCGTAGCTGTTACATGTATTCATAAATATAGATCATATTCCTTTGGGCAATTGAGAAACACTGATAGATTCGGGAAAGCAGCGGGCGTTGGCCTGTGAAAGTATACTCGCCATTATGCACTCGACCATAAACATCATTTCGTTTGAAAAAGACCTCGGGTCGTTTGGAAAAGACCTGGGGACCCAACTCAGCGGAGGAAAATGTGGTTTGACCCCAGCTTGGGCAATATTTGTCGCCTCAACATCACACCACAGAGAATAAGCATGAAATATTCCACACGGAATTAGAGAAGTTTCCAAGGAAGACCCTTTTTCAATGTCGGTGTCGATGTTCAAATTTGCAAATCTATGTAAAGAAGCGACAAGGAGAGAAGAACTGGAGTACTACTCAAAGCAGCATCCATTGGGAAAAGCTAAGGAAACACATCCACAATCAATTTGTCCGCGCTAACTCTGAGACTACGATTACCGGTCTCCGACGTCCGAATGGTACAACTGCTGGATCCCAAGGGGCAATCTAAAGACCATGCACTACTTTTACACTCTGGCACCAGGTCCACTGGCCATCGTACCATGTAATAATGCGGAATGAATACGCCTTTACTTCAATTCCCGCTCTAAGTAAGGCACGCCATTGCCACCACCTGTGAACTCTCGTGTAGCATTCCGCCGCAGAACATCTGGCCTGAACACTTGAAGAATTTCTCGCAAGGCGAAATCTGTTCTGGCTCGGCTCTTCATGCCAACTACCTTAGATCCTTGAAGGGACACTCACAACGGGCAGAGACTAACAGCCGCTGTGTCTTCCTCATTGCTGCGCCTCTCTCTCGAATGGTCGAGAGTAGAGGTATCCTGTTCTATAAACCAGTCTTTGTGTGTTGGTTTGTATATCTGGTTTATGTATGCATGTGTGTATGTATGTGTGTATTTATGTATGTATTTACAGGTGGAAGGGGAGCGGAAAGAAAGACACTTTTCTTCCTTGACTTTGAAGGCGCTATAAGTTACACTTTATTGAATTCTGATTGGACCACATATTCAACAGCATATTGTATACTATCATGATACTCCGCCACAGCCTTCTGGACGAGCGCCATCGAGAGATTCTGCCACGCGACCGTGATTCGGTACCTGAGTTCAGCGAGATCGTTGATTTCTGCGCTACTGTAGTCAGGTGACACACTTAAATATTCCGTCTTCTTCAGGTACTCAACGCCCTTCCATTCCAAGTAGGCGAGAGTTTTTCCAACGCCCTTCGATTCCGTGTGGAGGCACCCAATCCTGTAGCAGTACGAAGTTTCCAAGAAGGTACAGGCGATGACATGAAGGCAGGAATATTCTCCTCGAGTTGGTCGATGTGACCGACAGCGTCATTTTCACTCCGGGTTCCACGAAGAAAATATCGGTCTTCACATTCCAGGAACTTCCGGTCCATACCACCAACCGCGCCTTGGCGACTGCGGTGAAGATGATGTCCTGGACCGTAGCGACGTTGTCGGAGCTGTTCGATGTTGTCAGAGCTGCTCGGTGAGGTCTTTCAAATCAAGAGTACTGGTCTCTCCAGGTAGCTATACATAGGTGACTCCATACAAGTTTCACAGCTGTTTTGAAATGACGTGAAGTTCCATGGGCCTTCTCCAATCCGGCTGCCGGTCACAAGGGGGGTGGGGGGGAGGGAGGAGGAGAGGAACAGCTCAGTTTTTAGTTTCCGCCAATTACATGTTTGCTGAGAATGCCATTGAAACACAATAATCACCATCCGAAAAGAATATAAGAAACTCACTTCGTAACTAGCAAATTCGATGCTCAAATCGCTTCGCATTCGCAGTCGTGACAGTATCGCATAGATTGTGGCATCCTGAAAATTCAGCTTCATCTTGATCGAGATATTCACGATGAGCGAGGTACACCAAAAGTAACTCAAAGACACAAATGGAGGGGATTTCTTCTCTGTCACCCATTGTACGGGAGAGTTGAAGGAAGGGCCATCCCTCTATAACGTTCAAGCAAATTGTTTATGGGGCGAATGAGCAGTGCTAGTTGTCTCCCCTCACAAGGGAGGTCGTTCAGGGCGTGGTGCGCTTTTCGAAAACGGTTTTTTGCATATTGTAGGGGCTCATGCAAGGACCTGAAAAGTGTGCTTCATTTTCGCTGCGCGCTTCCAGGAAAGGTAAAAAACGAGTGAAAAGAAATCTTTGGAATCTGCTTCGTTCTGGGCCTCTATACGGCGTAGGAGGATCGGTTCAGGCGTGCGTGAGCTTTTTCCAAAATGGTCTTGTGCATATTGTAAGGGGCACATACGAAGTACCCCACCCCGCAACTCCGCCCACCCGGTCTCATTTTCGCTGCGCGCTTCTACGAAAAAAAAAACGTAAAAAATAGGTCGATGGTTCGGATCCCACCGAGGACAAAATTTTGCTTTTCTACAATTTTTCATTTTTTGGATCCATGTTTGTCTAAATAATTGGTCCTAATAAAACATTCACGATGAACTGAACAATCCTACTTTTATGGAGCAAAACTGCTTTTTCGTTCGAATTCGTTAGTATGCACAGACTCAGCTCTTCGGCGCTATGCCGGTGCCAGATGGCACTGAAACCGAAAATAAAGTCTAGAATCGTGATCAGCACTGTCAATTACTTCCTAGGAGCAAGTTTTGAGCGAAAATTTTTTTGACTTTTTCGGGTTGTAGGTGACCGACCATTTGGTCGGCAGTGTGAGCAGAGTCTCACATCTTCGTTACAGCGATGAAGTGTCGTTGACGCTACGGACACCGGACAACCCAATAAGCAACTCCAAGAAGGTCAAAACAGATGTTTTGACCGAACATTCGTTTTTAGTGGTAATCATTGGCTCTGATCATAAATACTATAACACCTATTCTTGGCGTCCACGCAATTTGGCGACAGAGCAGCGCTGAACGTTCCCTACATGGGTGTACATAACGAATTCACTGGAAAGAAGATGTGGCCCCAAATTGTCTATAATTGACACCACACCAGAAGTTACTAAATTCGCATCAGATCCACTGTATAGCCTATGAGGAACAACGTCCAGCAACAACCTTGTTCAATGGTGCGTGAAAATCGAAATAGTTGAATAGCACTGACTCATGAGGTACAGCTACTCGGAATGTGCCCATAAATGGCAAATATCCGAGTTATATTTCAGCGCATACACCAAATGGAAGCGAAAACAGCGAAATCTAAAAAATGCAAAAAGCCACGACGCAAGGGGAGCCGAACCATCAACCCCACCCTCACTGTCCGATTGCGAAACCTTCACTCTATCCACTAGGCCATCCGATGCTCGCTATACTAGCGCTCTTATCGTTGATGAAACTATTGCAAGAAGCCGTTCACCCTTCAGCACA